CAAAAGGTATGTGGTACAGGGGCTGGGGTTATAGCTCAGTGGCACAAGCACCTGCCTGGCAACTGCAAGCTCCTAAGTTCAATTCTCAGCACAAAATAAAAAAAAGTCATGTAGTACAAAAAAATTCACTTGTAGAGTTTTCATTTAGACAAGCTCTGCCACGTATAGACTAAATAACTTTGGGCAAGAAATGTAATCTCTTGGAAACAATCCATTTGTAAAATCATATATAATGCATATTACCTACTAGTAATAGTGAGAAATTTATATAGTGCTCATGACTGTGTCAAAGCTTATAGAAGCTACTCATTTAGTTGGTATCTGTCACACACAAGAAGGTCTACTGTTCATGGAATTATTTCTATGGATCTTGCAGTGAGCCAGTTTCTCTTATCAAATTCTGTGTAAAGGTGATGTTAAGCTAAGATCTAAAGGATAAGAATTTACAACAATATTCTCAGTTTAGATAAGAGGGACACTGGTCATGAGGTAATATGAAAGTGGACTCACAGATGGAGAGGGCGGTGGAGAATGGAGTTCACCGAGTGAGGGTAAATATTCATATTAAGGGGCAAGTTCAGATGGATTCGCTTGACAGTATAAATCCAAAGTACTATGGAAAAATTTAAAAATTTGTAATTTTTTAATAGAAACACTGTGGGCTATAAATACAGAACTAAGTCATTCACTTTAGCTGGGAGACAAAGTTGGTTTTATTATCTTTGAAGAAAATAATAGTATATGAAATTGAAAAATATAATTTTTAAAAAATTATGGCCCTGGTCAGGTATTTTAGCTGTAATGTCATGATTTAAATGAATATCCTGACCTTTGGCAACTGTGGACTCCGAGAGAGCTCAGCTAGCAGATGAATTTTATAGTCTTATAGTAATAAGTGATTTTTACTCTTCTTTTCACTTACTTTATTATTTTAGAGCATCTATCTTGTGTCAGTCATTGTTTCTTCCTTTTCTTCACAGAGAAAGTGACTTTTTTTTTTAGGTTAAAAATTCTCAGTAGTATCCTCAGTATCTAGACTTCAAAAGCACGGGACCCCAACACCCACCGAGCGCTGCAGGTGTGGGGCGCCCTTGGGGTTACTGCTCTCTTCTCTTTGACCCAGTGATACACGTCATTCAGCTGTCAGGTTATGTCCTCTACTGAGAGTCCTCTCCTTCTGAGCCTGGCTTATATCTGGTTTTGTTTGTGGCTGTTATTGCTTTTACACAGATGCACAACATTTGAGTTTGCAAGCGCTTATTCTACTGAGCTATCTCCCCGGCCCCCTGAATTTTCTACAGAAAGTTGATTTCCTTTATTTGATTTCTCACTAGTGATTGTTATGGTATTTATTCTGGTCTGGCTTTCCCATTATATTTGAGCTCCTCCTATCTCTCAATTTTAACAAGGTTCAGGTTAATTACCAACAACGTATTATGGTGAATTAATTTTCCTAATAAACTATACGAAGGGTAATTTACAATATGGTGAATGTTTAAATTTAACAAAAATATGTATTTTAGTAAACACATTGTCATTAATTCTCCTGAAAATAACCTTCCTCATTTGAAGCAATAATCTCATTGCTCTTGCCTCTTTCTGAAACCTTCCGGCAGTCCTCTCTCATGGGCATCTTTGGGGGATGTAATAAGGACACAGTGACTGCTGCTGACTGCCGTCCAGTGGAAAGGCAAGCTACAAAAGCATTCTGGTGTGCTCTGGTCCACTTCACTCACAAGATCTGGCTGGAATCTACTTCCAAAGTTGCCCTGATGTCAGATGACTTATGTCAACATTGTGAGTCGGTTCAAAATGTCCAAGAAGCCCCGACAGGGCAAGTAAAACATCCACAGAGAGAACTTCCGGAACTGCATTAGAAAGTGTCAGGAATGATGGTGTAAGTGCATAGAAGGAGGGGGAGAACTTTGTGGCATATTCACGACCACGCATCTTTTGCTACAATAAATTTTCTTTTGATGTATTCAGTACAGAGTCTACAGGGTCTCACTACAGATGGTACTCCTAGTGACCCTCATGTTTTTACCTCCCAAGTGCTGGGATTACAGGCAAATGCCACCACGCCCAGTCTTAATCACCATCTCAGCGCACCTGGGGGTGGTGCCAGCTCAGCTCACCAGGGATCAAACCCCAGTCCCTGAGCTCTGCCTAAGCAGGCACTTTGGTCTGCTTAGCTATCTCACTGGCCCTTACAATTTTAAAAATTTAAATATATTACATGCGTTTTGAGATCACACTTCACATTTCTTTATGTGCATTGTGTCAATCATGTTACGCTTTTTATGTATATTGAAATAAGGCTGAAGTAATAATACTGATATTGCAAAGGTATCATTTTTAAACAAAACCCACTGGATTTCACACATAGAATATATCTTAGTCACTCTGTAAGCACAGCAAGCAAAAATTAAAAGTACATTGTTAATTTAAATTTTTTTTTCTCTTTGCTAGTTTTCATGAATACCTACCTTGGTGTAGTGCTTTAGTTTGGCTTTGGAGACAGGGGTTGGAAGTTGGGGCTTAGAAAAATTCTTTAACAATGTTGGAAATGACATGAATTCATATTGTAGAACAACTAGAAACTCTAGACCAAAGGAATGAAAGTTAAGAACAAAATCACTCAGCGCTGAGTATTTTCTGCCCCATTGGCTGTGTGCCATTAAGCAGGTCATTTCACTTAAGCGATTTCCTTCATCTATAAAATTAGAAAATTAGTCTAGGTGGTTTCTAATGTCTCTTCTTTTTCTGATAATTACAGCTAAGATAATCTATTCAGGAAACCCTGGGAAAAGAAAGATCCTTGCCATTGTTTAGACCTCTGACCGACTATGAAATACACCAGGGAAGTCAGCTTTTCACGGTGTTAATATGCAAGTGCACATACATTGAATTCATTGGTTCAAAGCTCGGGACCATTTCTGTTTTCTAGTTTTCTATTTTAGGAAGAGTGACAGACCTAATGGTAGGGGAACAAAATATTTTTCACTAATTCTAAACCTTTATTATTAATATTTCTGTTTAAATGAGCCCTGTAGAAAGCATGGGTTAACTTTTAAACAGTGTTTTTGGTAGTTTCCACCAAGGTTAACATTTAGTCCTTATTCAGAGATGGGATGGACAGCGCTTCCTTCAATTGTATATATAACATGAAGAATAGAGTTATTTCCATAAATTCAGGAGGTACAAATTTTTTAGTGGAATGTTCTTCTGTAAAATTAGGTGTCTATATGGCATATTTTCATTTTCTAGGAGCAGCACTCGTTCTCTAAAGTATTATTTTTGTAAGGCTTGCAATAGTGCCATGAAGCCTGATTCTCTAATTGCTCCAGAGCCTGAAGCAGTGCTGCTGGAATGCTAAAACCCAATGGCAACTCATAAAAATAAGTGAGTTTTTCACTCTAAAAAAATCCGAGTTTCTTGCTTTCCCCTGCATCATAAACCATTTTATGGATAAAGGGATTAATGAACTCTGAAATCCTACTTTTGATTTGGCAGGACTAATTAAATTGACTTGAACCACTGAGCAGCTACTACTAATCATTTAGTAGGTAAATAGGAACAAAGACGGAAAATTAAGGGTCGCTGCTTGCCACAGGACCTAGTCAAGGAGTCACCGACTCTTTTATGTGACAGAGTAATAGAGTGTACAGTCTTTAAAGTGCAAGTTCAGGAGTTGAGCAGGCTTCATGTCCTTAATTACTTCCCAGCATACGCAAGCTCCTGAATTTCCGTGCCTTCCATTTGGTGCATTTTGTGATTTGCCCAGTGTATTAGCTATCCCCAATTATTTTTCTAGAAATTAACAAAAGGGAATGCCAGGTGATGGGCTCTGTGCCAAACACCCAGTAAATATTCCATAAGTGTTGGCCGCCATTTCCTAATGGAACTGTAGAAAATTCATTCACCTGGCTCAAAGCAAGAATTACTTGCATTGCTAATCTGAGAGAGGATCATTTGACTCCTGCACTTAAACATCCTCAAGGGAAGGGGGCTTACTATTTTGAAAGTAACTCATTTAATTGTTCAAAGCTTTGTTGAAGCTTTCTTAATAATAAGATAATAAGCTTATACGTGGAATTCCTGTAAACTGATAATATTTTGACATGTGTAGCTTTTTGCAGTTCGCAGAGCACTTCTGATCCATTCTCATCTGACGAAGCAACTCAACAGGGAGGCACGGTTCATTCATTCACTCGTTTACTTGTTCAGGGCATTGGCAAGCTCCTCCGTTGGCGGTGAGGATCACGCAGTGGCTGCTTGAGAAGTTCGGAGTGAAAAAAATGAATGAGTCACTTTACAGTAGCTTGCAGTCGACGAGAATCCGGGATCCAATCCTTGGCAGTCCCCACCTTGCCTCTTAGAAGGTCTCCTGTGCTTCCACCATCCGCCTAGGCAGGCCCTCATCCATTACCTCTTTTATTTTTCTACATCTCTGCTTTTACCAGACTGCTCCATTGCTCTGGAGCCAGTTATCTAGAAACTTGGATGGATTGTGGATTGCATGAAAAATGATAAAAGTACAATTCTTCAATTCTGTCACTTACTTTCATTATAGTGTCTCTCTTTAAATGTGTGGGGTTAGAGGCTTGTCAAATCAATTTACAAATTAATGGGAAATGTTAAGTGACTTGTGCAAGCATGTAAGTAGGCAATTAAACCCAACCAGAATCTGCTGGCTACGTTCTATGTTCTTGCAACTGTTAAATGTGGGTTTTCAGGAGTGTTTCTGGAAAACTTCACATTAATTATTAATTCCTGAATTACCCTCTTATAAACAACATTTTCATTCCATGTCTTTTCTTTTATTTAAGTATACCTGAAGTATTAATGCTATCATTTGTGGTTTTAAAAACTATAGATAATCAGGATAGGGATTTTTGACATTTATTTTGAGACATCCTTTTGATTAGTCACTTATATCCTGCATGTTTTCTTTGCTTCAGCTACTTAAAATATAGGTCTTATAATTTGCTGTCTAGTTCTTGCTTCAGTAGCACATATACTAAAATTGGAATGATACAAAAAAGACTAGCATGGCCTCGGCCCAAGGATGACACGTAAATTCGTGAAGCGTGCCATATTTTTCAAAACAAAGAGGACCATTTTATAGTGAAAAAATATATGTATATGCAAGATAGTTAGGATAGATATACAGCTACTTTCTCTTAGTTCATTGAGAAGAAAAGTTTGTACTAATATTGTTTAGACAAGACATCATGTTTACCTCTTGTCCCCTGAACAACTACCATGAAAACAACAATACGCAATGTATTAGGCCTGGCCAAATAGCTCAGTGGATTAAAGCGCCTGCTTCGGCAGATGCAGGGATGGGGAGTTCCATCCCGAGGCCTGCCATGCCCGCCCCGCCCCGGGACAGCTGAGACAGCACTTGAGGCTGGGCCTGGTGGTGCGCGCCTCTAGCCCCAGCACTTGGGAGGCTGTAAACAGGAGGATCACTACGAGCCCAATCTATGCAGTGAGACCCCATACACCATGCCCTAAATACAAACAAAGTAATGTATTAATTATTGTTGCTGTCCTACTAACCTGTTTTGAAACTGTTTCATTGCTCTTTTATCTTTTTTCTCATTAAAATCAATAAAATTTTTTAAAAAAATTGATATCTATTCATGAATTTTGTCTGGAATAGGATTAGTAAACAATAAAAAAGATATAACTACGTTATCTAAGTTGAAATTTAATTTCAATTTAGAACAGATACATCACCTTATAAAAATGTCAAATAGGAATAAATGAGAAATTCATAATCACAATAGAAGCATACGTAATTCCCGAGACACTTCTGTCCCCTGCCTGCATTTATGCCTTTCTGCCTTTCGGTTATGACAGTGAATACCATTCATGCCAGGTGTTGGCTGTACAGAGCCATGCCAAATGTGTCTCAGGTGTCTGACTCAGAGCTGCATGGGATTCTATAAACAAGCAAAGCAAGGCTGCAAGGGCAGGTGGTCTGAGAGTCTACCAACAGCCTTGTTAGCACTGCAGCCTGAACATAGCTTTTTTAAAATTTTAGTAAAGGTCTACAGGGCCCACAGAGCCTATAGCACCTACAGGGTCTACAGGGTCTACAGGGTTTCACTATGTAGATAGGACTTGTCATGATTCTCCTGTGTTCAGCCTCCCAAGAGCTAGGATTGCAGGCACGCACCTCCGCTTCTTTTTTTATTTTAGTAAGGGTCTACAGGGTCTCACTGCATAGATTGGGCCCATAGTGATTTTCCTGTGTTCAAGACAGCATTCTGATCTTGAAGGACTTATATAACTTCTTAAGACCTCAGCTTCTGTGAAATGCAAGTAATAATAATAATACATGTGTTTATAAATATAAAGATTGATTTCAGAATTATTACTATTAAAACTGAATCCCAAGGCAATAATGTCGGAAGTTGTATATTGTCTGTCCCATTTCAGGGAGATAGTTTCCTAATAAATACACAAGTAAACATGCCCAGGGGAAATTTTTCTATAAGAAATGTTTTCATAGCTGTTTATGTCTATTCAGATGGTATTTAGCACCGTATGTGTCAGTGTGCTGTATTACTCCGATATACAAAAGATAGCGTTAGAACACTACCATTAACATTACCGTGAGAGTATTCTGTCCTAAGTAGTACAACTCTATGAGAAATGGTAAATAAAATAAATAATAGTTATAATGAGGCTTGAAAGGTATTTCGGATTCCTCATTTTTATTAACTATTATGTCCCAAGAGTCTTCATCTGATTTAACAAAGAATGTATCTAACTCTAAGATAGAAATCTATGGTTTCAATTGATTTTTGCCAATGCTTTATAAGTAATGACTTAAAATTAAATATAATCTCACACACTTCTAAGGCTCTGGGAGACATGAAGACAATTGAACTAGCATCTTCTTCGTACTCCGGTGGCTGCTGCTGCTAGTGAGAATAAAACTTCACTTAGCATTCTACAAGGCAACTGAGGTATCCAGCACTCCCAGTGGCAAAGCAGGTTAAATAACATCCATCTTTCTCTTCCGATGAAAGGTGAAATACTTCTCAGAAACTTTAGAAAAAAGCAGTTTCCCAATGTACGTATTGTATCCAAAGATCCCATTACTGCTTATGTCGAGGGGGAGAGATGAGTTGTTCCATTACCAAGCAGCATGTGGAGTAACAGTTGAGCTCTAGGTTTCTCCTTTCTTTCTGCCATGTTTCTGATAGTCCTGGCTATCCTCTCTTCCTAAACATAGATGATAGGCCTGTTCTAGCTGTACGTGTGAGATCCAGATAACAAACCAGAGAAACAATGGCTTCAGTCGGTGCCTCGGATGGACAATGCCTTAGATTTAGGGGAAATGTATAAAAATCGACTGATTTGATTTTTTAAAAAGATCTCATGAAGTCTAGTACCTTCTGTTAGTAAACATTGTAAAAGTCTTATAAAAATTGTCAGTTCTTTTTAATGAATGGAAAATAATGAACTGTAATGAAAATAAAGGACAATGGGGATGGCTGCATGACAGCTAAGTGGGCATTGAACAACTAGGACTGCATCAGGTGGGTACTTCCATTTTCTGGGATAGAAGCCTGAGGAACAGAGTAGAGAGTCAGTGGGGTGGCCAGAATTTGAGCCCAAACACCCTGGCCCTTGAGCCTTGACTGGATGACTGTCTTCTGTGGAACTCCTTACACATAACTTAATTCTTTTTTCTTCCTTTTTAAAAAATTTATGTATTTGGTACAGGGTCTCACTATGCAGCTCAGATTTATAGTGATCCTCCTCTTTTCAGCCTCCCCAGCTCTAAGATTACAGGTGTGCGCCACCATGCCTGGACTCACTGGCTCAGCATGCCTGGAGGATGGGTTGGCACAGCATGTGGGACTGGATTTGAATTCTGGTCCCTGCACTTGCCAAAGCAGGTGCTTAGTCCACTTAGCTATCTCGCTGGCCCTATTTAACTTAATTTTATTTGTTTATTTATTTACTTATTTATTTATTATTTGTGCAGTACCAGGGATTGAACTCAAGACCTTGTACTTGCCAGGCAGGTGCTTATGCTACTGAGCTATCTCCCTGGCTCCCTACATAACTTAATTTTTAGCTTTAGTTAAAGAAAATAATTTATTTGATTACAAAATGTCAAAGTATTTTCAAGAATTCTGAGAAGACATTTTTTTCAAAGTATTATCTTAGGGTTAAGTACATCAATATACTTGTCTTTTTAAAAAAAAATGTATTGTATTTGGTACATGGTCTCACTATGCAGCTCAGACTCGTAGTGATCCTCCTGTTTCCAGCCTCCTTAGTGTTGGGATGACAGGTGTGCACCCCTATGCCGGGTGCTGATTGCTGGCTAGCGCACCCTGGAGGCTGATGCAGCATGTGGTGCCAGGGATCAAACACCAGTCCCTACTCTTGCCTAAACAGATGCTTAGTCTGCTGAGTTATCTTGCCAGCCTAATATATTCATCTAGAAAACATTTACTGCAATTAATGAACATCTCTTATATGTATGTGTTTCATATATTTTTGACATAATATTTTTCTCTCATTTCATATATTGCAAAAAAATTTCAGATCTGAAGGCTTTTCCTACTGACTGATTCAAAGAAGTCACCTCAGATTAAGACATTCTCCCTATAAAATTAGTTATAATAGTCATTTACTAATACATTCATTGATTGTTATCCGTAAATTAGTCTTTCACTATACCATAAAATTTCAAAAATGTGAAGTATATCTGAATGAATAGTGCATGTGAGTATTGAACTTTGACACATAAAATATTCTCTAGAAAATTATATTATTTTCTAAGTTAGCATACTAAAATATAGTTTAAGTGCCTGATTCCGCATACCTTCATTTTGAACACATTCATCTTTTAGAGCTGGGGCATATTGTCAGACATCACTTGTGAGAGATGGTCCCACAGTCTGTCATGTTAGATAATGATTCTAGCTATCACTTTTGGAGTGTCGCAGCCCAGTTTGGAAAAATTTCCTTAGAGAAAACTGACTTCATATATTTTTCATTTTAATTTTGCAGAACAACTTTATGTCATATCTATTGATAATTTTTAGTTAGTGGTCCATAAATCACTGCATGTAATATTTTGGTCTACTGTTGTGTAATGTGTGTTATATAATGTTGTAAGGGTTACATAGAAACACATATGTGGAAGATTTTCTAAAAATTGTTAATAGAATAAGCTCTGGAGACCAAATGACATTATCTGCATCTGTGGAATGGATCTTCACATCCAGTGTGTGTGTGTGTGTGTGTGTGTGTGTGTGTGTGTGTGTGTGATATAATATATAACTACATATACAACTAATTGTATAACTAGAATATATAGCCATTGAATTGTGGCACATGATTATTCTATTTCATTCTCATTTTAGGCTAATCAAATGGTATTGATAAGTAGGCTCACAGATGCTGTTCTCTGCTTCCTAGAGTGTTGGAAAGATTAAGCAAAATCATGCTCTATGATCCCCAGCATGCTTCCTAGTGTGTGCTGTAAGTCCTACGCCTTTATGAAGGCCCTGCATAGCTGACTTTTGCCCGTAAGTAGAAGAACATTAACAGCGCCTATGCAAGTCTCTTTTGAAGAAGTTTATTTCCATATATAAAGTTGATTTCATGTCTAATTAATTCGCTATATTGAATCGCTTTCTTTCTTGAATCTTTGTTCTTTCCACTTTTGAGGAAATTATATTTCTACTAGAACTCCTAGACATCTTTTTCCGCCTATTAAGAGTATACTTCCATGTGTGATAAATTGAGTGCTTGTCAGAGTACTTAAAAAACACTACCAACTATAATAGAGCCTTATGGGAACTACCTTTCACTCTAGATTTTATCTGTCTGGGAGATCTTTTAAACTCAAGAAGTGCTTCAAATATTTATCAAGTTGGTGGACATAAATAGTATCCAGTATACACCATATTGTCAGTTCATTTTCTTCCAAAAGAAACTAATGACCTTTGCTACCCATTTCTTTTATTAATAAAATAACACAATGATTTAATAAAACCAACCACATTAAAAAAATCCTTATGACAGCAGAGGTGTAGAAAGTCATATTCCGATGTGGAGCA